TGCTTGCTATTCAACTATATACATAATCTTTTATAAACATGAAAAGGAGAACATGTCTACATAAACTAAATGCCACTGAGAAACAAGGCCATTCTAATCTTGCCGAGCAGTCATGATTTATATAGCTTGTGTAAAGGTCCAGAAGGCAAAAATCTTTAGGCTTTGTAGTTTTCCACAAAATAATTTAAATGTGTTTTCCTTAATATCTTAAATCTAGACTTTGTAACCCCAAGGATGATGCCAATATTGATCCCCGGTGCATGATTTACAACACTTTTATAAAGAAACATAAGTTTAAACTACATGTAAAATATCTAAGTGGACCGTAACATTTTACTAATTAAAGCTACCACTAACCTTGACCTTTAAACATGAAAATTGGTGTGGCAGGTAGAACTCATCAAAGTGCATTTTTGTACCAACTCTCAATAAAATAGCATTATTAGTATTAAGTACTACCATAATAAACAAAATCTTAAAAATGCAGCCCCCCAAAAAAAGGGTCATGCCAAAAATAGCTTCTTTTTTACTTAAAAATTTGAGTCAAATGGGGGCCATTCTATTTTAAAAGTAAGTCGGGTCTGAAGGTCAAAATTCGAACTAGATTTTTCAACTGAAATGACAAGCTAATCGCTAAACTTTGTTTGTGCGGGTATAATAATGCAAATTTTCAATAATAAAAGCCACCATTTCTATGTGTCTCATCTTAAGGATCTTTTTTTATCTCCATGTCGTCAGGATGTGCTTGTGAGTATCCATTACTTCTTTCACGTAAGCTTCTTTTTGCTGAAACATAAATCTAGGCCATAAAGCAGCAGCTTTTTAACATACACATAAAAGAGCTGTTTAGCAGGAAACATTCCCTTAAGGGGTGTGGGGGTTAATAATACGCTCACCTCAACAAACCCAAATACCCCATACATAAAGCTGTACAGGGCCCATATATGATATGTATCTCGATACAGGTTCCTGAGAAAAATTGGTCAGAGTATGTAATCCATTTATACTTTATATTTTACACAGAAATGTATTATGCAAATTAATTTTCAAAGACTATTTTACTTTACTCACTTATTACACATTCATAATGGAAATTAACATAAAACTATATACAGTTAAATTGAAGTAAGGATTTGTAAGGAAAATATCCAAAAAAGGCAGGAATCCGATGCAACCAGGTTTCGCAAATTTTTCCCCAAGAAGTTTGTCATGAAGGGGCATTTATTTTTTTAAAAATTTTTTAGGAGGAATTATGGTTTTTTTTTTAATATTCCTCAAAAAAAATGATTTGAGAATTTTTTTGTCTATTCGCCTTTTTTTCCCAAAATATTTTAGAAAGGTAAACGTATTTTTTTTTTGCTTAAATTTTTGGGCATTTTTGCGTTCTTGTCATTTTCTTTTGTCCCCCAATATTCCCGTGGGGGGTTTTTTTGTGCGATATCAAGAAAAGTATGTTCACAATTTTAAACAAGAGCCATGTCAACATGGCCATCCCCCGCCGAATGTGTTTGCTCTGATCATTGGAAAATGAATGTATATGTAGTAGAGGAGAATAATTCCATTTTTAAGAGGTCTTTGGTAAATGAAAACTGATGGCTATAGTGATTACAGATTTGAAACCTATGTGAAACTGATGGCTGAAAATACAAAGGGCAATAACTGAAAAAATAATGCAGGGTAAGGTTATCATCCTTGTGTGCTGCATCCTCCTCAGTAAAATCTATCCACCTATTTGAAGTTTTCAAGTTGATACCTAAAATACTTTTTGAGAAAAAAAAATTGAATTGGGAAAAATTTAAGTTATGAAAAAAAAAATACAAAGGGCAATAACTCAAAAATTATTAAAAGGTACAGTTATTCATTCTTGTGCAGTGCACACCTCCTGAGTGAGATCTATGCACCTGTGAAGTTTCATTTTGATATCTCAAAGGTTTTTGAGTTATGCTCTGGACAAAAATTAATTTTGAAAAAATAACAAAGGGCAATAACTCAAAAAAATAATGCAGGGCAGAGTTATCATTCTTTAGCACTGCACTCCTCCTCAATGAGATCATCCACCTATGAAGTTTCAAGATGATACCTCAAATACTTTTTCAGATAAGCTCTGGACAAAATAGCATGAAAAAAACAACAAAGGCAATAACTCAAAAATTGTATAGGGAAGAGTTATCATTCTTGCGCACAACATTTCTCCTCAATAAGATCTATCCTTCTATGACATTCATGTTGATATCTCAAACACTTTTTGAGTTATGCTCCACTCAGGTGAAAAATTAGGTATGAAAATAACAAAGGGCAATAACTTCAAAAAATATGAAAGGAAGAGTTATCATTCTTGTGCACTGCACACCTCCTGAGTGAGATCTATGCACCTATGAAGTTTCATGTTAATATCTCATAGGCTTTTGGAGTTATGATCTGGACAAAAATCAATTTTGAAAAATAACAAAGGGCAATAACTCAAAAATCATGCAAGGTAGAGTTATCATTCTTGTGCACTGCACTCCTCCTCAATGAGGTCTATCCACCTATGAAGTTTCAAGTTGATAACTCAAATACTTTTAGAGATATGCTCCGGACAAAAATTTCGGACGGAAGGACGGACGGACGGAAGGAGACTATTACTATATCCTCCGCCGAAAATTTTCGGCGGGGGATAATAACTGAAAAATTATGCAGGGTAGAGTTATCATTCTTGTGGAATGCAATTCTCCTCAATCAGATCTATCCACCTATGAAGTCTCAAGTTGATACCTGTAACGCTTTTTGAGATAAGCTTCGGAAAAGAAGTATGGAAAAAAACAAAGGGCAATAACTCAAAAATTGTATAGGGAAGAGTTATCATTCTTGCGCACAACATTCCTCCTCAATAAGATGTATCCACCTATGACATTTCATGTTGATATCTCAAACACTTTTTGAGTTATGCTCCACTCAGGTGAAAAATTAGGTATGAAAAATAACAAAGGGCAATAACTCAAAAATTATGAAAGGTAGAGTTATCATTCATGTGCACTGCACACCTCCTGAGTGAGATCTATGCACCTATGAAGTTTCATGTTAATATCTCATAGGCTTTTGGAGTTATGCTCTGGACAAAAATCAATTTTGAAAAATAACAAAGGGCAATAACTCAAAAATCATGCAAGGTAGAGTTATCATTCTTGTGCACTGCACTCCTCCTCAATGAGGTCTATCCACCTATGAAGTTTCAAGTTGATAACTCAAATACTTTTAGAGATATGCTCCGGACAAAAATGTCGGACGGAAGGACGGACGGACGGAAGGACGGAAGGTCGGACGGACGGACGGAGACTATTTCTATATCCTCCGCCTAAAATTTTCGGCGGGGGATAAAAAATACTTGAATGATGTCTTGGAAGAAACATGGGAATTTAGTGAGCACCAGGGCACTTGATGACAAGTTTCTGTGAAAGTTTGGTCAAAATCCATTGAGAAATGTAGGAGAAGTTGCGCACTGTAGAAATTGTTCACTATATATTCTGTATAAGGAAAAATATACAAGGGCCATAATTCGGTCAAATATTATCCAATCACAAAACCCCGACAATATGTGCCAGGCACTTGATAACAAAGCTTCTAAGAAATGTTTGGTCAAAATCCGTTGAGAAATGTAGGAGGAGTTGAGCACAGAAGAAATTGTTCTCTATATATTTCTGTATAAGGAAAAAAATATACAAAGGGCCATAATTCGGTCAAATATTATCCAATCACAAAACCCCGACAATATGTGCCAGGCACTTGATAACAAAGCTTCTAAGAAAGTTTTGGTCAAAAATCCGTTGAGAAATGTAGGAGGAGTTGAGCACAGAAGAAATTGTTCTCTATATATTCTGTATAAGGAAAAAATATACAAAGGGCCATAATTCAGTCAAATATTATACAATCACAAAACCCCGACAATATGTGCCAGGCACTTGATAACAAAGCTATTAAGAAAGTTTGGTCAAAATCCGTTGAGAAATGTAGGAGGAGTTGCGCACAGAAGAAATTGTTCACTATATATTCTATATAAGGAAAAAAAACAAAGGGCCATAATTAGGTCAAATATATACCAATTGCAAAACCCTGGCAATATGTGCACAGGGCACTTTGATGACAAAGCTTCTGAGAAAGTTTGGTCAAAATCCGTTTGAGAAATGTAGGAGGAGTTGCGCACAGAAGAAATTGTTCACTATAATATTTTATATAAGGAAAAAAAAAAAACAAGGGCCATAATTAGGTCAAATATTATCTAATCGCAAAACCCCGACAATATGCGCCAGGGCACTTGATGACAAAGCTTCTGTGAAAGTTTGGTCAAAATCCGTTGAGAAATGTAGGAGGAGTTGCGCACAGAAGAAATTGTTTACGCCCGCCCGCCCGTCCGCCCGCCGACATACCTCAATCTAATAACCAGTTTTTTCCTTCGGAAAACCTGGTTAAAAATAGCGTAGCCATAAATCTACACAACTAGCAGTCATTGCAGTGTTTTGACAATATTCAACAATATGGGTTTTATTTGCAAAGGTGTCCAAATATCTTATTATCTTTTATTCACAAATTTCACCTGACCAAAAAGTGTTTCCAAAAGGGCCATTTCAGCCGATAGTCAATTGTTACAAAAATAACGATACATCGGAAAAATAATTTCAGCACATTGAAGTAGCAGTCAGATTATTTTTTCACTTGAAATCCAAAATGCTTCCATTTTTGGACTTGAAACACACTGACGCAGATTTAAATTCAGCTTCTGAAAAAATTACTCCCTTTGAAAATGGTCTAAAATGCCGTACCGTCCCATACTGTGCGGGTGATTTGTCATACCGTGAACCATACTGAGTGAAAAGGGTACGATATACCGCAAGTACAGTATACCTTTACACCCTTAGAACAGCATGCTTGAATATTATCAATGTTTGACACTAAAACAAGAGTCTGGATTACATAAAATTGTCTAAATTCAGGAAGGGCCATAATTCAGTCAAAATCAATGAAAGAATTTTGACTGTTTGAAAGTGACCTCTTATTATGCTCTCAAATAAAACTGTGAAGTATTCAACATATTCCCTTCAGTAGCTTTTGAGATACAAACTTCCATGCAAAAACTTAATGCCTGGGTGAATACACAGCTCCTCCTGTTCGCCCATTTCTGAAGCTAAAAACTACTTTTTTGCTTCTTCTTTATTTTCACAAAGATTTTATACACTTAGATGTCACTTCTTTAGTTTAGCATTAACATCACAAAATAATTTCTAAAATTAACTACAACATGATTATAATGTGATTTTGGGAAGCCTAATGGGTCACTATGGTTTCAAATTTAACATTACTTAAAACCAAAAGAAATAATATTTGTGCTTTAAATACAATCAATTTTTTGTTCCTTTTCACTTATTAACAGACAAGCTGGAAGGATAATAGCAAACAAAACAATTCTATGCTACTAAAACCATTGATTCTTAATAAAAAAACTTTTATCAACGGATATTTTTCACTGGCACATCATGTACTATACTAACCTTAGCACATTTCAAATTATACTTTGCTTTCTCCTTCTCTGACAGTTCTTTCCACATTGTGGACAATTTCAGCATCAGAGGCACACCTTTTATGCCTGAACTAACCAAGTCCTTGGTCATTTCACCACAAAAATAAGAATACCCATTCACTCTGAAAAAAATATCAAAGCCAATATAAACTTCATGTTACATCTACTGAAACCAGTTTGGAAAAGACATTTCTCTATCAAAATGAACAACTTATATTAAAGTGCATGTGTTGTATTACTAGGTCTCCTTAAAGGCCCATTGTGTCCTAGAAATGCTTTTATAAAATACAATTTTGCGACTCCATAAAAAGGGTATTGCATGGCTGTGCATATATTTAAATGTGACGTCATTTACATTATACAAACATACTGTAAAGATGCGCTAAATGTTTGCGTTGCACTATAGGCATGTAGAATGAAAAATTATTCCTTTGCTCTTTAAACAGCCTTTGTTTATGGTATGTGATAAATAGAATATTATATTTGTGTATGTTCATAACTGAATTTATCAAACGAGTTGAATAAAATAATATTATGCTTGCCACATGCTCGCATAATATAATTTTATTCAACTCTTCAATAAATTCAGAATTGAACCTACACTCATTCATTATCCTCTATTTAATTTTATTTCTCAAACGTTATCTCAAATTATGAAAAAAGAGTGAAGTTTCAATTCATTCCCTCAGTACTTCTGGAGATATCAATTTACATGCAAGAACTTAACCCAAGTGTGACGCCGCTGTCAAATAATTTTGGCTCGTAAATACTTACTTTGGTCGTTTCGGGTGATCAGGATTAACACTCTTCTTTTTCCTCTTTGGCGCTGTATGTTCTTGGACCCTAAATCATTAAAAAGAAACCAGAAACTATCACTCAAAGTGATTTATATATCAGAACCTTCCACTTTTATACTAAATAAATTATGAAAATAAAAGTATTCCAAAAACAATCTCTGCTCTTTTACTTCCCCTTATCATGCCAACATTTTTTCAACTCGTGTTATATCAAAATACCGCATTGCCATAGAAATAGGAGTTATCCCAAAATAACACATGGTCACAGAAAAATGTGTTATCTCAAAAATACCTCATTGCCACAGAAATATGAGTTATCCCCAAAATAACACATTGTCACAGAAAATATGTGTTATCCCACAAAATACCTTATTGTCATAGAAATACGAGTTATCCCCAAAATATCTCACTGCCATAGAAATATTGATTTTTAAAAATATCAATGATTGCTACATAGTCTCTTTGTTTGTATAAAATAAACATGCTTCGACTTCATTTAAAGTAAATATGTTATGTTTTGAACTCACTTTACTTGACCCTTAATAGGGAATGCAGCTATACATAGTTTATTCATTATTTTATTCAATTTAAACATATTCAGTAAGAATTTCATGGATTTCATTACATTTCTAAGATAGAATTGTTTTACCCAAAGATGAGCATATTATGACGACTTAAAATTAATTGTCCCCATAAGCAACCATACCAAGTATAGTATGTGTTTTCTATTGAAACAATATCCAATTAAAATACAAAACTTTTTTAAGTTAACAAGATTGTTTCCACCAACCCCTCCCCCAGCAAAATAAAATATATTTTTTTCAATATTTCAAGCCAAATTGACCAAGTTATACTTACTTGTCCTATGGGGCGTCCGTGGCCGAGTGGTTAAGGTCGTTGACTTCAAACCACTTGCTTCTCACCGCTGTGGGTTCGAATCCCGACAGGGACTTTGGATTCTTTCATGTGAGGAAGCTATCCAGCTAGCTTACGGAACGTCGGTGGTTCTACTCAGGTGCCCGTTTGTGCCTGAAATAATGCACGGAAGGGCACCTGAGGTCTTCCTCCACCAGTAAAAGCTGGAACGTCGCGATATGACCTATTCTGTGTCGATGTGACGTAAAACCCAAAACAAACAAAACTTACTTGTCCGTACTACTAGAAGTTTTAGAACTTGAAGATGCCTTCTGTCTTGCACATTTATTCAACTTTTGGATCTCCAATTTCTGTAATGCAACATAAATCATACTAACAATACCGCTTAATTTATAACAATCAGTGTTGTATCTAGAATTTTAAAATTACATCCCACACTAAACTGAAAAATGTGGGGGATTTGAAAAAAAATATGGGCAACATGCATTTACTTAACAATATGATGTACCGAAATAATTTATTATACGATTACGTTTAGGCATTTTTGACAGCAATTATCTACTCAACAACAAAAATAAAATAAAAATATTGACGAATACTAGAAGTGTGCGCAGATCAAACTCAATACACATGCATGATGACCTGGCTGGCTGCTACACTGATTTAGTACATCTTTTAGTCATTATCGCCAGTGGAGACAAACATGGCAGAAGCATTCAAGAGACAAGATACAATGAAGATAAACTGAATTTAGCTGAAAAGATTGTCGAATGTCCTACTCGCCACTCATTGGATTTGAATGCAAGATTTGCAAAAAAATATGCGTGAATTACATGGCCTAGATGCAACACTGAGAAGGAAGTTAAAAGCTACAAAAAAATATAACTTATAATAATCAAGAAATCTATTATCATCTTTGAAATAACATACATGTAGGCGGTGTTGATTAGAAAGTGTGTAAATTATGAAGCAATTGGTAGTGGTAGAACTTATGATAAATTCAACTTTCTGGTCTAGGTTAATCTCGTACAAACAGATGTGCAACCAAATTAGGATAAAGGGCCATTTCTATTGTTATTTCCTTTTGTTTAATAGAGGATCTTTGGCCCCTCTCTCTACTTTCATAGACGCTATTGTTCTCTTTTGTTCTGTTTAACAGTTAGATGGCTCCCTTTCCCTATTCTGTAATGTGGACAGAGAGACAAATGGTTCAATTACTATATACCCAGGCCCATAAGAATAAAATGAGCCGTGTCATGACAAAACCAACGTAATGCATTTGCGACCAGCATGGATCCAGACCAGCCTGCGCATCCGCGCAGTCTGATCAGGATCCATGCTGTTCGCTTACAAACCCTATAACAAGTAGAGAAACTGATAGCGAACAGCATGGATCCTGATCAGACTGCGCGGACACACAGGCTGGTCTGGATCCATGCTGGTCACAAACCCATTATGTTGGTTTTGTCATGACACGGCTCAAATAGGATTACTTACAGAATTTTGTGACAAAATATCGACAGCTATTTCTGGTAGAGTGCGGTAAGTCCGGACCTAAGGAGACAAAATTTGAATAAAAAATTACATGCATAGTACATAGTTTTGTGCATTAGGATTTCGTAGTAGTAGATTATTACAAATTTCTTCCTGATGATAGTTAATATCTATATAA